CTGGGATGAAGGACTATCAAGTTTGTTCAACTGAATGACCTTGACCAACTTTCAAGGTCACAGGGGTCAAATGTCGTAAAATCTTCAAGCGACTTCTTTTCAATAAGCAAAAGGGCCAGGGTACTGAAATTGGGCCTGTAGCATGCTGGGATGAAGGACTACCAAGTTTGTTCAAATGAATGACCTTGACCAACTTTCAAAGGTCAAAGGGGTCAAATGTCATAAAATCTTCAAACGACTTCTTCTCAATAACCAAAAGGCCCAGGGTACTGATATTGGGCCTGTAGTATTCTGGGATGAAGGACTATCAAATTTGTTCAACTGAATGACCTTGACCAACTTTCAAGGTCACAGGGGTCAAATGTCGTAAAATCTGCAAGCGACTTCTTTTCAATAAGCAAAAGGGCCAGGGTACTGAAATTGGGCCTGTAGCATGCTGGGATGAAGGATTACCATGTTAGTTCAAATGAATGACCTCGATCCACTTTCAACCTAATGTCCTTGTTCGACAATCAAGGTCAGACGCGTCATATGTTTAAATCTTTTAATAGGTTCTTATGAAATCTTAAGATTACAAGTGTTAGATTAATAAGAGGTGAGCGATGCAGGCCCATTGGGCCTCTTGTTAACAAATAGCTTCCTTGGATGGAGCCCAACAAAGTTTGTGAATGGAAATGACCTTTACCTACTTTATCTTATTGCTTTATCTTAATCTAATTTGATATAGAATATCCTTGGCCCAACATGATTCAGTGTTGTAGAAACCATGCCTCCATCCCAATCGGGACAGGAGAATGGGACCCAATAAGTTAAGGGTATTACTGAGAAACATACAGAGCCAATATTTGAAAATATTTGTAGTACAGTATTGTATTTATTTAATATTTTGCTTTGACTGCTGAAATATCCAGTTGAGCGATACAGGCCCTGTGGGTCTCTTGTGTTTACATGGACTGCCCAGTTGTCCGGTTATAATCTGATTCGAGTTCATTTAAGCTTGCATAACAGCGTTGGGTTACAAGTATTTTCAACATGTTGTGATAAGGTCCATAAAAGTTGTTGTCATTATAGATAATTTCGCTTTTGTTTAGAATTCGCGGATATTAGTCAAAGCGCGAATATAGCAAAATTAAAAACCCCACGAAATATAACAGCTGTACAGTGTGTACAAGTATTATGTTAATCTGTTTGTTACAGCCATCAGCTACAGGTTTGAATCTGGCTCTGTGTGACATTATGTCACACTTCATGTCACGACCAGCTAGCCAATCACAGGACAGTACCATGTCGTCGTGGGAGTCGAACATCTTTGGTTACCTTGGTGATGTCATCCAAGAGGCGGGGCTTGGTTTACAGGACCAGCATACACTGGTGGTCATCATCTATCGACTCTTGTCTCGATATCAAAATCAAAGTACGTTGGTAATATTTTTAGGATTTTTCCAACTTTTTCGTACAGGTGACAGGGAGCAGCAGAATCTATATTATAGATGATTTATTTAGGCATGGTGTTGACATGTTTTGGCTCATGTTGTTCCCCTCCGTTGGAATTAATTTATGAACTTTTAGCAGGGCATCCTTGATATCTGGGGTTAAGCTCACTTTCGCTCTCTGCACCCCTGGAATATGTCGTAGCAAAATTGAAGTCTCGGGTTGTGCCACCTTGTTGATGAGAGAAGAAGGCTAGTTTGATCCTTTGATGTACATCAAAAGAATCTCACAGTCGCATAACGGTAAAAGTTACTGGTTTTGTGGTTTTACATATCATTTCTGAGGTTAATGGCAATGAAAACACAGCCAGGTCAACATGGAAATACATTATTAGAACAGTCAATTTCTTTACTGGGAATTATGTGACTTGAAATAAACCAATAAGAGTTTTTGTTGTTAATATTGTTTTACATATATGTATATGTATATACAAAACCTAATCTACAATAAGCTGAGGGGGCCAAGTAGTGGGGTCATGAGATTATCCCAAAACAATGAAATTGCATTTGTTTGCATTTTCACATAACATCCATAGGTATCCTAAAATCTCAAAAGCCAAACCAAATGTGACTGCTGTTTTAACCATTAATAGGCTCATGCCTGGTAATAAGCCCATCCATACCGTATGGATGGGCTTATTACCAGGCATGAGCCTATTAAAGGTTATAACAGCAGTCACATTTGGTTTGGCTTTTGAGATTTCAGGGTATTTATCAACAAGTGTAGACAGTTTCTTGACACGTGAACGTTTGTTTCAACAGGTTGCCTTGACAACTTGCTACAACAGATGCTGAATAAGTACACAAACTGTCACCCTCTTGCCAACCAAAGGAAGGGACTGTTAAATTTCTTTGCGGATATCTTCATGGATCATTGCTATGAGGACCTCATCAAATCTGACATGGCCATCACTTTTCTGAAAACGTTGCCCGAGGTGTTTTTCCAGTCTAGTTCTAAACACCAGATGGCAGAACAAGTGCTAATGGTGATGAAAAAGGCCGTTAGCCAATCTAACATGGCAACAGTTGCTATGGAAATCATACAGCACTTTGTGGATCAAGTTTTAGGTACTCACTGTAAAACACTTCATGATAGGCGGGTATAATTTTCAGCCAGTTTTTGGCTGTTTTTTTCATATGTTGATAATGTGGATGCCTGAAATAGAAAAGTCAATGCAAGAACTGATTTTGAATTTTCAGTGAAATTCTTTTATGTTAATCTGAAATATTATTATATCATTGAATATTTTGTGAAATCGGCATGAAGCTGGGGTATTGTTGTTTGGTCCAAAATCATTTATGTCTTGTTATTAATTAACGGACCACACACAGAAACAATTAAGAAAATATTTTAAACAAGATGATTTTTTTCAGAATCAAAAGACGCTAAATTATGACGAAACATTTCTTTTTATATCAGAATTATGTTTCTTTGTAGCTGGTGATTTTTCTTATGAGAATTTGTGACGTACATATAATAATCATTGTAGATATTATTTTTAATTAAAATTTCTGTTTTTAGATCAGTCGTCGACAGTATTTGACCATCTCGACAGCAGCACACAGAAAAAATTCATGGAACTTATATATTATGTACCTCCACTCCAGGAGAGTTCTCTGTCCTCCATTGTGAGGCTGTTCAGGAGTCCTCAATTGCCAGTGGATTTATGTTTGTATATTATACAAATACTGCAACATAGGTATGTGGGAATAAATTTGGTCTTTAACTCATTCAACCCTGAAGACACATTTGAACTCTTCCAATTCAAAGATTGGAATAGTTCATTACAAAATTTCAGGAGTGAAAAAGAATTAATGAATAACTCTGATCTCTAAAATAATAGAATAACTCTACAAAAAGAATTCATTAGTAATTGTATTGGTTTTCAAAAGAGTTTTAAATGTCTGATCTCTAAAAAATATATAATACTCTTCAAGAAGAATAAATGCATCTTATTTGCAAAAATATTCTTAAAAATATTGTCTTGATCAACAGTATAAAGTATAGTCTGTGTCAAGGAGGGAATGCTCATAGATTCTGTATTCACTATGACCAACACTTGGGGACACTTGCCCCACTGGGTTTTGATACATATGCAGTAAGATCAACACTGTGTGTTTCAATGATGGTTTCTCCCAGATGACCATTAAGGCCCCATGGGCCTCTTGTTTACCTTGTTGATGGTACTTAAGGAGCACATCTGTTCATTAATGTTATCTTCATCACAGGTATATGAAGCAGAATCTGACAGTCAAAGGAAGTATTCATCACATTAGTACACTTCTCAGCATCCTCATCTCTCCAGGTAGGTCAAAGGTCATAAGACTGTCAAAGGAAGTATTCATCACATTAGTACACGGCTCAGCATCCTCATCTCCCCAGGTAAGTCAAAGGTCACCAGACTATCAAAGAAAGTATACACCACATTAGTACACTGCTCAGCATCCTCATCTCTTCAGGTAGGTCAAAGGTCAACAGACTGTCAAACGAAGTATTCATCACATTAGTACACTGCTCAGCATCCTCATCTCTCCAGGTAGGTCAAAGGCCATAAGACTGTCAAAGGAAGTATTCATCACATTAGTACACTTCTCAGCATCCTCATCTTTCCAGGTAGGTCAAAGGTCATCAGACAGTCAAAGGAAGTATACACCACATTAGTACACTGCTCAGCATCCTCATCTCTCCAAGTAGGTCAAAGGTCATAAGACTGTCAAAGGAAGTATTTTTCACATTAGTACACTGCTCAGCATCCTCATCTCTCCAGATAGGTCAAAGGTCATAAGACTGTCAAAGGAAGTATACACCACATTAATACACTGCTCAGCATCCTCATCTCTCCAGGTAGGTCAAAGGTCATAGGACTGTCAAATGAAGTATTCATCACATTAGTACACTTCTCAGCATCCTCATCTCTCCAGGTAGGTCAAAGGTCATCAAACAGTCAAAGGAAGTATACACCACATTAGTACACTGCTCAGCATCCTCATCTCTCCAGGTAGGTCAAAGGTCATAAGACTGTCAAAGGAAGTATTCAACACATTAGTACACAGCTCAGCATCCTCATCTCTCCAGGTAGGTCAAAGGTCATAAGACTGTCAAAGGAAGTATTCATCACATTAGTACACGGCTCAGCATCCTCATCTCCCCAGGTAAGTCAAAGGTCACCAGACTATCAAAGAAAGTATACACCACATTAGTACACTGCTCAGCATCCTCATCTCTTCAGGTAGGTCAAAGGTCAACAGACTGTCAAACGAAGTATTCATCACATTAGTACACTGCTCAGCATCCTCATCTCTCCAGGTAGGTCAAAGGTCATCAGACTATCAAAGGAAGTATTCATCACATTAGTACACTTTTCAGCATCCTCATCTCTTAAGGTAGGTCAAAGGTCATCAGACTTTTGGACATTGTAGCTTGGGTATTAAATATTTATTATATACCAGGTATTTTAAGAATATATAGCCTGTTGTTCAGGTCAGTGTTTGATTTTATCATCCTGAAAAATGTATCTTAAAATTAATGGAGACGAACTATACATCTTTCAAACGCAAATGGCTACATCAATCGTTTTAGTTTTATGAGGCCATAATTAAAGTCTCGTCGTTGGTTATGCATCCATTAACAACTCACCTTTTCGACTTCTTTTCAAGAAACGCTGCAAACATTGTTAACTGTGCAACAAAAATGTACCCAAGTCGATAGTAATCGTGTAATCTTCTAAACAAGGTATTAAAATAATGGGACATATTTTGGATATCTTAAATAAAACAACTTTTCATTGAACAGATGATGACAATGAAGAGGTAATGAATGAAAAGGATACTAAAACCACGCTTGTTCATTGCCATGACAACCGACAACTTCACTGTCATTTTGACGTGGAGATTTGGGAAAGAGCTTTGACTCTAATAAAGGTAAGTAGATTTGAATTGAAGATTTCAAGACCTTTTTCTCCTACATTATCCTATCTTAACAAATTATACAAAAACATATATCTGTATTTCCCAGCAACATGAGCTCCAGCTGATATTTATTTACAATCCAATCGATTGATATCTATAATTTACACAGAAATAATCAACCTGTACACAAAGTTATTCAACAATTATAATTTTATTGCTTCATAACTGGTAATAACATGTACATTCACTCTCTGAGTTATGTTTGTTACCTGAATGACATACAGATAATAACCCCAAAATGTGCATAGATGCAAATCCAACCCATTAGCGCCACATATAGGCGAAACCATTCTGGAGAGAAAATAATTACTTCCTAAATCCCTACCGTCAACAGATGGTAAATGTATTGGTAGTTCCTCGACAGTGTCACAGAAACCAACCCTTCAGCTTTATGGAGTTATTTTGATACAAAAAAAAAGGTTAAGATAAGTTGAGGAAAGCAGTTTCAGTCGCGTTTCACACACTTTCTCCCTAAGATTACCATACCCAGGCATGCAGTCAACGCTTGCTGTCAAAATTCTTGTTGTCTCTGATGATTAATGTATTGATCAGACTTAACACTCCAGGGGCTACGCTCACTAAATTCGCTCTCTGCCCTCCTAGAATATGTCATGACAATCCTTTGATGTACATCAAAAGAATCTCACGGTAGCGTAATGGTAAAATTGACAGGCTTTGATGTCAGGCGTTGCTCCTCTGTAATCTTTAAAGGACAGGTATCGGTCTAGGGCATGGTCAGGTTTTATTAGCTGAGAGTGAGACTAATCAAATAGCTAGCCGTGTGCCTACAATTTTGCTGGGGATGCAGAGAGCAAAAGAGAGTGTAACCCTGGAGTATCTAGGATGGGTATCGCATGAATCTAGCATGACGCAGAGAATTTTGTAAAAGTTCCAAGTAAGATGAGACAAATATTATCATCTTATATATCTTTGTATTTATTTCTCAGAAAATATCTATCTACTTCACAGGAGACCGCATATTCAGTACTTATGATTCTGTACTTTGTATAAAATGTTTATATTAAAGGTCCTAAGTTGTGTTTGGGACCCCCAACCCAATTACGGAGTATACAGAATAATCAGGATTGGCGACTGTACATATAGCACATTCAAAATGTACACAGTTCTTTACAAATGATATATTTTTAACCTGTTAATTTCATGTTGTAGGCAGTATGTTCAACATTCCAGCAGTTTGAAAACACCCGGCAGGTCGCTGAAGTTTTGGAGTCATTTCTGCTGTCTTATCTGGTCAGTTACAATCTGAAATGTCATTACATGTGTAACTAAATATTTACTGTAACTATATATTGTGGTTGATGTTCATGTAGTTCACACACGGTACATATTTTGAAAATAAACAAAATAGATATAACAGAGGAATTGGAAAAGAAACATTTGTGTTTAATCCTTTTCTTTGGAAGGTCAAGGTTTCAGGTGTCAAAATCCCATAGAGGGTAATTTTAGTGTTAAATTGCATTTCAAGATTAAAAGTAGAAATCCTATAAATCGCAATGATTGCGAAACATTGTACTGTGATGATCCAATATAGAGACTTTAATTACATTCAAACTTAATTAGCTTTAAAGCAATATAGAAATATTCTCCTGCTGATAATATAATGATAATAATATTACAATGGAAATATGTATATTTGATTTTTGAGATTATAAAAAGAAATATGTTATCAAAATATGTCTTTTTCCCCCTCTAATTGGTATTTTCAAATCAAATTTCAGTGTGAAAAGCGCAAATTTTCAAGCCAAAATCTGATGGCAGTTGTCATTTTAGCCAATCACATGAACTCTTGGAAAGGTCCATTTGGGAGGAAGCTTACGGAGCCTGTTTGTTGTTACATCTGGTGCTTGTTCAATACACTTGTAGCCAATGGGGCACAAATATCTGACTTTATCCAAAATCTGAAAGCAGAGTGTGCAGATTTTGTGGTTTCAGCGGATTCTGGCGTTCAGTGTTTCCTGGAGAATATGTCTCGGGATTGCAAAAGTAAGTGCTGTGAGCTTTGGCTTTTTCACTCACCTTAAGTCTCCCACCATTACTTCTGGAGAGAACTAAATTAAGAGACCAAATGGTAAGAACTGGGATGTTATATTTGAAGCGAATTTATAAAGATAATATTGACGTGCAGTTTCTAAAATTAGTAAAACAACCAAATATAGTGAAATATCCACCCAGATATGATCATGTCTTAGCCAATCAGAATACAGGAAATGGTGACCTCATTACCCCCATGCAACGATGGCGAGGTCATGAAGGGGATGGAGTGGTGTTCTGTTTGTACGGGTGTTCACATTTTGTCATCACTTTTGCGACTTACTTCCTTTAACCCCATACATTGATCAAGTATAGGGATACCTCCACCGAGTTTGTATTTTTGGGTGCTAAGGTCAAGGTCAGAGTCACCATTACTATTGAATAGAACATTTTTGTAATTATTCTTTTTTATAGATTTCCATTAACAAAATTAAGTGCTATATCAGGGCTAGACAGTAAGGGTAGCCCGATAGTCTGAGACTAGTGAAATCTCCAGCTGGACTACTGCAGGGTTAGACAATAAGGGTAGCCTTATAGTCCGAGACTAGTGAAATCTCCAACTGGACTACTGCAGGGCTAGACAGTAAGGGTAGCCAGATAGTCTGAGACTAGTTAAATCTCCAGCTGGACTGCAGGGCTAGACAATAATGGTAGCCTTATAGTCTGATACTAGTGAAATCGCCAGCTGGACTACTGCAGGTCTAGACAATAAGGGTAGCCTTATAGTCTGATACTAGTGAAATCTCTAGCTGGACTACTGCAGGTCTAGACAATAAGGGTAGCCTGTTAGTCTGAGACCAGTGAAATCTCCAGCTGGGCTAGTGCAGGGCTAGACAATAAGGGTGGCCTGATAGTCTGAGACTAGTTAAATCTCCAGCTGGACTACTGCAGGGCTAGACAATAAGGGTAGCCTGTTAGTCTGAGACTAATGAAATCTCCAGCTGGACTAGTGGTTCTAAAAACTGCTAGCCTGATGACGGAGTAGTCAAAATTTTATGTCTCTTATCTTGTTGAATAATATTTGGTTAGTGGAATGAACTAGTAAAAATTGGAAACTTAACTACCCGATTGTCTAATAGTATTCAAAATGAATTTCTAGCCCTGCATATTATTAGTTACACAGATTTTTGGCAGGGTATACGGGATGGTATGACCCTAAAGGGTTTCGTATTTCCTTCGGCCTATCGGCCTCAGGAAATACAAAATCCTGTAGGGTCATACCATCCCGTATACCCTGCCAAAAATCTGTGTAACGAATTTATTACACCTTTGAGTCTTTTATATTGGTTTTGTACAGTTCCCTGTCAACTTTTCTGTTGTCAAGATAAAAATGGCACAGTACCTCATTTAGTTTCGTTTTATCAACTTCCTTGAACTGTTCTTCCTGATTCTTTTCTTTTAAATACGTCCTCACCATGTTTTCCGCTCGTCTGTTCGACTTTTGTGTGTTTTGTGGCACATTGTTAGCCCTTTTGGCGAGTATTTCCTCATCAGTATGCGAAGCAAAACGTTTTGCCATTTTGTAAACAGCGAACCAGACGACGAATGCGAGTTGTCCCCCGTTGCCCGGCCGCAAGATACAAAGACACGTGACCCGTATACCCCTTGTAAAATCACGTGATTCCACCGTTTTACTGCTGAGAATCACGTGACATAACCGTATACCCCCCGAGATTTATTATACCCCCTGAGATTTATGAATGCGGTTTGGTACACTGTAGTTTTTAACCAATCAGATTCCTAGATTTTTCTCAAATAGGTAATAAATATATGTATTAAAAAGGTCGCTATTTGTGTACGCAGGTGCTGGTGACGAGGGAGACATCCAAAGAGTTTGTGAGGTAGCCTCTATTCTACTGATAAACAAGGGAGTTCTAACCCCCATCCACCAACACATTGATTCTCTGAACACCATTATCAGCTCTGTACAGGTTGGTTGACTTATGACAGTTTTTACTCTAGGTACCGCTGTAGAAATACTTATTAAGAATCCCAGTGCAAATACCAAAAGCTGTAACTATAAATCGGTAACTTTTTTATTTTCACGTAACAGATTGAAAAATAGCTTTATTAAGATAATTTCTGAAAAGAAACCAAAGTCTGGAGAACTTTTATAAAAGAAATGAAGAAGATAATTTATAAAAGAAATGAAGAAGTTTGTCAGGACCATAAGTCGATCATTCCTACCAAGTTTCAGTTTAATCATGATCACAAGTCGATCATTCCTACCAAGTTTAAGTTTAATCGGCCCATTAGAACTTGACTTAAGATTTGAAATAGTTTTTCATAATGGCAGCCGAGTCGGCCATATTGGATTTCTGATCGACCCGAAAAATAACAACACTTTGTCAGGACCATTAGTCGATCATTCCTACCAAGTTTCAGTTCAATCGGCTTAGTAGAACTTGACTTTAAGTTTGAAATAGTTTTTCAAAATGGTGGCCATATTGGATTTCTGATCGGCCCAAAAAATAACAACACTTTGTCAGGACCATGAGTCGCTCATTCCTATTAAGTTTCAGTTCAATCGGCCCAGTAGAACTTGACTTTAAGGTTGAAATAGTTTTTCAAAATGGGGGCTGTGGTGGCCATATTGGATTTCTGATCGACCCGAAAAATAACACTTTGTCAGGGAGAGGTCAGTATCCTTCTCATGAAATATTATTGAAATCCCTTTGGCAATATTTCAACTTAAGTTGAAAATGTAAAATGTTAACGGACGACGCACGACGACGGACGAAGACGGATGGCAATAGGTCACTTGAGCTAAAGCTCAGGTGAACTTAAAATAGATATATAAATGTAATTGCCTATTAAAACTTTGCCCATCATTGATGCTTCAGGGGTTACGCTCAATTTTGCTCTCTGCTCCCCTGGAATATGTCATAGCAAAATCAAAGGCTCGAAAAATAATTGTATTGGTCATTCTAGTGAATAAATGCACAAGTCTCCCAATTTTGCCAATACTTACAAAGTTGTAGCACTGTTCCAGTAAAAGGTGAACGGAAAATGTCTTCCTTATCAAACCACTTGTGGTTATCTCCCTTTAATTTTAATAGTTGTCCAAAATACTGGAGTTTGCTGTTTCCTTATCCTTGTCTCCCCTGTTAGAACATGGACAACATGCAAACTAGTTGTTAATACATATAAGAGTAGTCTTTGATAAGGTCAATAACTCTACATCTTTCTACAGAATGTCTGGAGTCCATATTGACATAATTCAGTAAAAATATATCAGATTGATGTGCATATAAATGGAACGGTGACAGGATTTGGTTAATATGTGGGAAACTACTATGAGGACAGATAATTTTATACTGATTACTGATCAGGCTGCAACATGTACTTTAATCTAAGAAGCCACTTTTATTTTTTTCAGAACAAGTTTCCATCGGTATTAAATAAGCAGTGGTGGTCAGATTTTCTCTATCTGGTATCAACGGTCAGCTGAGGAACATGGTCAAAATGGGCATTTCATCATCAGTCCCTGGTAGGCAGAGGTCAAAGTGGCCGTCTCATGGACAGTCATGGTTCAGCAAATGGACGGGATGAAGAGGCCATCTCGTGGTCAATCACTGGGCAGCAGCAGGACAGGTCAAAGGTCATTCTTGATAAGGCTCTGGTCAGCAAAAGGGACATCTCAAAATGAGTTACTGGTCAGCAGAGAGATATTTTCAGACTGGACACCCCCCACTCAAGTCGCTGGTCGGCAGAGCAAGATTGGTCAAAGCAAGCGTCTCATCATCAGTAGCAAGTCATCACTGAGAAGGGAACAAACCAGGGGCTTGTTCGTTTATGCGGAACAACTGATCTGTCTGTTTTTAAATTAAACATTTTCGAGTATAAATCAAGGCGGACCTGCAAATGTTTATGCAGGCTTTGCAAGGCAAGGCTCGCCTGAAAGCAGCATCACATTACTAGGTCAGACATCATTTCATAAACGAACAACTCTGGTCTAACCAGTTCAACCTATGGGAAACAGAACGAATCTAAATTGCCATTTTCTTTTATCTTGCATAGCAGGTTAAAATGTCTGTTGTCATGGTCTGATGACAAAGGTTTTCCGTGATGACCGGTCCCTTGTGTCATTGGTCAGTGAATATGCATAGATACTCAATCCTGTACCGTACTAGCTTCCGATATCCTTACTTATTAGTGATTGGCCTGTGTATGTGTCTTGTTTTGTAGCCATTCCCGAGTTCTCTCGTCTCTTAGCAACAGTAGAGGGTTGACTTTGCTTCAGTCGCATCTTAATACTCCCAGTTATGGGTATGACAAACTGTCGGTTTAACAAACATTTGTGGATACTTTAACCCTAAATGGTTGAACTTAATTACATGCATGTAACTGTTGGTCTCACAAGAGATTTGTATTTTTGTTAATGTGTTAAAATGTTTACCGAGCTGTGTACGCTCCAATTAAACATTTGATATAAATAACTAATATTTGAAGTGTATTTGACTTCATGGCCTTGAACATTTTCTGACAGATTTTTTCCTTTAATTCATCATGTATATATAAGAATTGACAATTCTGATGGTGCAACACTTTTATTTTCTAGAGAATAAAACCACCTTAATATTGTATGTTTTTGTTTTGGATTTTACCTTGCTGATGTTGTGACCCGAAGCTTTCCCCGAGCACTGTATATAGTTGGTAATATTTGTGGAGAATTTAATTTCTCTTTATTTGCGGTCATACAAATATTAGGGGAAATTAAATACCAAGCAAAGGTGAATATAATATATATATAAAGACACAAAAGAAAACGCCTGTTTATCTGTTAACTGTTGAATAATGAAGATAAAACAATATCGTGTTTACTTTATTAAAAAAAAATCATTCAAATACATGTAAATCCCATTAACTAAATACCAAAGTACCCTCGTGAACGTGATATCTTTACCTTACCATGTTGTGGGAAATTTAACCCTCTTCAACTAGTTCTGGTCGTGACAAAGCGAAATAGTAGCCCCAGGAAATTAAACAATTCTACAGACTATCCCAGTCAAGCTTCTCTATTTGTTTGGATGTTTTGTTTGAAGTTTTGCATCTTCGCAACATACTTTGTATGAGGATTTCAAATCAATTCATTGAATCAAATTAAATCATTGATCCTATGGAACCGAATATCAGAGACAACATAAAACTCTGAATAAATGTCATGCTAGGCACTGCAGTTTATTATCACAGCTGGCATTAATAGGTATATAGAAGATTATTATGACTTTCAGCAGATTTCGATAATTGGTGGTTTACAAGTTTCTGTCTGCAATTTTATCACAGGTCACATTTTCCCTGACAGAAAATCACTTGCTTTAACTGGGTTTGTGAGGAAGAAACATTTTTACAACCAGTAAACTACAATTACCACTCTTAATTGAAGCAAGATTCATTAATTTATGTATTATAACATGATCAATTTGAAATTTTTCACATGAATAATCCATCTTTAAGTTATAAGAAAATTTGAAACATGTATAAAAATACAAAGTTAACAATGGTTTCAATTAATACATAGAGCTTAAAAATAAAAAATAAAAATGTCCATACCTTGTCATTTTATCAGGGGGACATACAGAATTGCACATGTCCGCCCGTCATGCCAATAATGCCAAGGCACATTTCTCCCCGCCTTATCCTGATTCAGTGTCATCGCCATAGCAACTTTATTCAAAACAGATTTCAATCGAACTTCATACGAAGATCAAGTGCGAAAGAAGAAATTTGTCAACTAACCTTAAAAGAGTTCAAAGTCAAATTTTCAGTCAAGGCCAAGGTCACTGTATCTATTTATAGAAATTAATTAGCCAATTGAAATGAGTTAATATTCCAATTTTTAAAGTCAAGGCTAAGGTCACTTACTATTTATAGAAATTTGTTACTGATTTTGTGACATCATTCTTACAACTTAATTTCTTAACAAAATTGATCAGACTTTATGCGGAGGTCAAGCATGATAATACCTCGTATGAATTTGTATTTCAGGATTTCAAGGTCACCCTTGCGACATATATACTTACAGAAACTTGTCAAAAATGACACTAAATTTGCATAGCAGCGATGGGGAGCATTCATGTTTCACATACAATAAATATTGAGGGTTTCATCATTCAGCAATTATATAATAATATAAGCTAGATTAATATTGGTATTATGTGAAAGCACTACGCTATGATTGTCATTTCATTTTCTCGTTCGTTAATAATATTAAATGATATATTTCTGGTAAGGATTTCATATCCTCTACACCAGATTCAATACAGAAGAATTGTTATGAATAAAAAAAGTTAGACTTGCCTTTTCAGAAATAAAAATTTGGCCAAATTTACACAAGGAAAAACACTGGTTTCTATCACAGCTGGTTAAATGTTGATCAAATGTTTTGGCCAATTACACAGTCTTAAAATTAAAGTACCGGGTAGATGTATAAAACAAGAGGCCCAAGGGCCTTAACGGTCACATGAGTTCAAAAAAAGTCGAGAATGTTTCGGCCAATCAAATGGCACTCCATTGAGAAAAATGCATGAGGTTTGTAATTAATTTTCAAATTAATATGATGTATTCCATATCATTTTCTACCCAATAAATAAGTCTGCATGACCAAAACTATTCTGCAGCTGGGATATAAGAATAGGTAAAATGTCTTAATTATAAAGCTTTTAAAAAAATTCTTTCAGACTTTAAACAACAAATCTATAACTATATGAACTATAGGTATGCTATTGTATACCGAGAAATGTTTCGCCTTTTTCCTCCTCCACAATAATGACAAATTTATCATATCGGGAGATATTAGTACAGTTTATCTAAATAAATACTTAAATGTGAAGGGCGAAATTTACACTGGTCAAATGATGGATTCTACCAGTGAAACCCAAACATACAGTACAACCCTATAATGTTTTGATAACAAACAAAAACATTAAACTTGTTCCTTGTGAATTATTATAAAGAGGCACAATGCACACCAGTACATGTATTAGATAACCAGGCAACAATGAAAGATTTGTCTTAATATCACATGTTTAAAAAATCTATAAAAATCTAAGAAGATATATTATCCATTTAGTACTAAATAAACTATTTAAAGCTTACAACATTTTGACATATTAAATATTTCATAAACTTAACATTTGAGTCCTGATCATCGACATATAAAGCAAAGGGCACAATGGGTTCTAGCAGAAAAAGCTGTTCAATTACCGTAATTAGCATCGGTACATTAAGGTAGACAGTCCCAGCTACTTTTCTTGTATATCTCCAACAAAGGAGAGTTCCAATTTGTTCAGCATTTTCTCACTTGATGTCATTCGCTCATTTCCTTATAGCAAGGAATTCTACTCAAAAGAAATTTGAAGAAAAAAAACCACTTTGCCACATGGTTCAAAACTACTACATAACTGAATTGTTTCAAAATGTTTAACAGCTTCAAGAGTCCAATTAAATTATAATTGTCTTTGTGAAAATGTAGTGGAAATAATAAAAATAATTCAAGGAAGAAATTTTTCAAGACCTGTATACAGTAGAAAAAGTAGCGGGACCAGTATGAATAATAATGAAATCAGTATTTGTGATATTTCATAAATATCAAAACTGCACCCAATCTATGCATGTCTTCGGATTCAAAATGATAACATTAAAATAACTTGCATAAAAATACAATGTACAATTAAAAAATTAAAAAAAAAAATGATTAACATTTCATTCGAGGTAGAATGAAACTTGCTCCCACTGGGTCCTGGTTTTCAAGGGTTTCTAGCTATTTCGAAGAGTTGGTGTACATAATCAACAAAGTTGTATTTAACCTGTAATATAATACAGACAAACTTAAATAAACAAACATATTCAGTGTTCCAGTGTGTTTAAAAACAAGGTTATTGAACACATATCCATAACTCAAAGATTGTACACTCAAACCTGTCCATAAAGACCGATTTTTAAGAAGGATACACTTGAAAATTATTGCCAGGTGGTAGTTATGGACATCTGGTAAATAAATCTTTATTTGTTTTTAAAGATGCATGCTACCAAAACATCAATGTATTTGTGTTAGTTATCTCCATTTAAATAATGTTTAAATAACATTTTACCAGGACATGTCAAACAAAATCAAGCCAGTGTCGCCTGTGCCCGCTTTGACCATCAATATACACATGTCAAGTTTGGTTGGTCTAGCACCTATAGTTCCAGAGAAACTAACTTAAACGCAAAATCTTAATGTTGATGGAGATGCCGACAAAGTCAATGGACCATGAAAGGTTAAGGCTGCGTCCAGCATTGGATGCACTACCTGAGCTGCATCTATGGTCCAAGTTTGGTTGGTCTAGCACTTATACTTTCAGTAAAACGAACTTAAACGCAAAAACTTAATGTTGACCCTGCCGCCGGCGTCACCGGAAAAGCAATACCTAAGTCTCGCTTCCGCTACTTCGTGGCGGCGAGACAAAAAACAACCTTGTACACATATTGGTTATATGATAATGGTTATAAAGAAGAAAACAAAACGGAAGTTTCGTGTAACAATTCAAAGTTGATTTTCAATAATTTAACAAATATATGATCAAGCCATCCTGTCAACCTGTAACTGTTTCAACCATTAACCCTTTCACCCCTATATAACTTCAGTAAACTCTACCATGCGTTGATCTGGATGAGTCCATTATGGTCCCAAGTTGTGAAAGGTTTAAAACTAATACAACATTGATTCAATATAAGGCCCCAATTAAAAATGGTTGAATGAAATCTAACTTATTCAGTAAAACATACAAATATCATGGCACAAATGTAATGGCATCAATGTTATAGGCCAGAAAAGGCTAATTATACAACACTACAGCGCAAGCTACTTTATACTAGAATTGTGAATTCAAATGTCAATTACCTTTTTATATTTATGCATGAAAATGTTTTGGAACAATAAAAATATATGGAGAAAATTAATTGAAACAACAAAATATACAGAAATACAGCAAGTATCACTTCCAGATTAGGAAGAGGTAGAGAGTCAACATTTCTTTCTACGCAAACAATACTGCAGCGAAGCATTATACATATAAGTAAATTATAGTTGAATCGTACAAAATATAAAAAAGCGCTTCCAAACCTGTATTGGTATAAAGTATATAATGTTAAAAAAAAATACTTTTGACAAGTAAACATCTAAAAACAATACTCATTATATTTCAACCTTAATTATATTTACAACAAGCAGATATCAACCAATTAATTGCCACATGAGTTAAAATGAAAAAAAAATAAACATATTTTGAGATTTATATTGATCAAAACATCTGCAATACATAAAAGATCTTACATGAGTTTCCATTTCTTATGAGATTAATGGAACATGTCCAAAAGGTTATAAGGGAGCCTCTGGAGAGCTACGATTGAAAGTTGTGATAATAATCGTAAGTCTCATATAAAATGTAAACAAATGTCAACACATGTAATATTTTATTCATCATGTAAGTTATAACCAAGACTTATTGCAAATTTTTGTGAAAACTACATTTTCACAGGCTGTCTTATAACCTAAAATACTGACATTCTTGCTACAAGCCTTTTTCTCTTATGTGACATCACAATGTACTTTTAGCGAATTTGCTGTCAAAGTTTAACAGACTAGGGCACTGATGGTTTGGTGCGCCCACAAAATATGCAATAGAAAGCGACACACAGTAACTTTGATTGGTGCAATTATAATTTTGCGCAATATCTAAAGCCTGAAATGTGCTAAAATAAGACTTCCACTAAATAGGTACATTTACAGTAGTTAAAACTCTGTGGCATCGTGAAGTTGTGACATCAAAACTGAAACAGTGGAAACCTGCAGCCAATCACAGCTCTACTGGTCGTTATTAAATATGTGTTCAAAAAACAATTTATATAATGTGTGTTATGACACAGGTAACATGGTATGAAAAAACAAAATAGACAGGTGGTCTTTATATACAGTGTGTGATCATAAAGAAAGATGAATATGTATGTCTAACAGGTATTTTTGAACAGATGGTAATAAATATGTGGTAGATAAAGACAGGTTGTAGTTATAGACAGGTGATAGACTTAGACAGGTGGTAGTTGTAGACAAGGTGGTAGTTGTAGACAGGTGGTAGTTGTAGACAAGGTGGAAGATATAGACAGGTGGTAGTTGTAGACAGGTGGTAGATATAGACAGATGGTAGATATAGACAGGTGGTAGATATAGACAGGTGGTAGTTGTAGACAAGGTGGTAGATATAGACAGGTGGTAGTTGTAGACAGGTGGTAGTTGTAGATAAGGTGGTAGATATAGACAGATGGTAGATATAGACAGGTTGTAGTTGTAGACAAGGTGGTAGATATAGACAGATGGAAGATATAGACAGGTGGAAGATATAGACAGGTGGTAGTTGTAGACAGGTGGTAGATAAAGACAGGTGGTAGTTGTAGACAAGGTGGTAGATTTAGACAGACGGTAGATATAGACAGGTGGTAGTTGTAGACAAGGTGGAAGATATAGACAGGTGGTAGTTGTAGACAGATGGTAGATATAGACAGGTGGTAGATATAGACAGGTGGTAGTTGTAGACAGGTGGTAGTTGTAGACAGGTGGTAGTTGTAGACAAGGTGGTAGATATAGACAGATGGTAGATATAGACAGGTGGTAGATATAGACAGGGGGTAGTTGTAGACAGGGGGTAGTTGTAGACAAGGGGGTAGATATAGACAGATGGTAGATATAGACAGGTGCAAGATATAGACAGGTGGTAGTTGTAGACAGGTGGTAGTTGTAGACAGGTGGTAGATAAAGACAGGTGGTAGTTGTAGACAAGGTGGTAGATATAGACAGATGGTAGCTATAGACAGGTGGAAGATATAGACAGGTGGTAGTTGTAGACAGGTAGTAATTCCAGATGGGTGGTAGATTTTAACAGGTGGTATTATAAGTCAGGTGGTAATTATACATACATGGAAGTTGTAAACTGGTAGATTGTTTTATACAGGTAAAGGGAGGTGGTGGACAGAGACAGGTGGTAGCTATGGGCAGCTTAACTTGTTACATGGTGGTACTTATGAAAAGGTGGCCTCTAAGGCAGGTTTTATTGAATAACAAGTCATTATTTAATCTTTTTACCCCTATTTAACTTAAGTAGACTCTTCCATGTATTGATATGGATAAATCCATTATAGCCTACAGTGGTGAAAGGGTTGGCCCTTTTTCTATTTTGCGTAAACTCCTTCTGAAGAATGCAGTCTTTTATATGATGGCGTACCAATTAGAAGAAGGCAGTCTTTTTCATGGTGGTGATCTAATAATAAAAGGAAATCTTTTCGATGAGAGTGTGGCGACAACTCCAGGGACTGTCTTCGTTTGGCTCTTTAACGTGGATTGTCTGTTCACCAAGGATGGGGCTCTCGGTCAAATCCAGGGGAGCGCCATTCATATCCACCAGTATAAAATTGTGAATACTCTCTACAGTCAGCTGGAAGAAAAGAGTACAACAACGATGTAGATGTTGTGAATATAGAACAAGGCATTCCACAGTCCTCAAACGTTAACAATTTTTTTTATTTACCAAGCTGTTTTGGATATAGTTCACAGTGTGAATACTTCCTGTACTCCCCACTCCAACAACGATACCAAACCTGGTTACTTTAGGTGAATTAATATGGAAGTCCCACCCCTGGACAAACTTTTTTAAAGGTTGAGGTCAAAGTTCAAACCATAGGTCACAGTGACCTACTTTTTAAACTTGAAACTCTACCTTCCTAAGAAGCACTTAAATACAACATCTGGTTACTCTAGTAGAAATAGTGTAGGAGATATGCTCCGTGCAAATTTGTTCAAAAGTAACGGTCAAAAAGGGCAAACCATAGGCCACAGTGACCTATTTTTATACAGGACAGTAACACTTCGCTATCTACAGATGGGCTTGCATACCAAAAATGGTTACTCCAGGTGAAATAGTAAAGAAAATATGCTCTAAAACTGGGTATAGGGTACAGGCGATAGATGGATTAATTCATAAAGATTAACTGAGAGCAGTTCATCATGCTGTTTGTCGTCATTTTTTACAAGCAAACATCAGCACTGAGTCAGGCAGACACCCAGATATACAACACACATCCCTGCCCCTCCCCAACACCCAGATATACAACACACGTCCACGCCCTTCCCCAACACCCAGATATACAACACACGTCCACGCCCCTCCCCAACACCCAGATATACAACACACGTTCGTGCCCCTCCCCCACACCCAGATATACAACACACGTTCGTGCCCCTCCCCAACACCCAGATATACAACACACATTCGTGCCCCTCCCCCACACCCAGATATACAACACACGTTCGTGCCCCTCCCCAACACCCAGATATACAACACACATTCGTGCCCCTCCCCCACACCCAGATATACAACACACGTTCGTGCCCCTCCCCAACACCCAGATATACAACACACATTCGTGCCCCTCCCCCACACCCAGATATACAACACACGTTCGTGCCCCTACCCCACACCCAGATATACAACACATGTCCACGCCCCTCCCCAACACCCAGATATACAACACACGTTCGTGCCCCTCCCCCACACCCAGATATACAACACACGTTCGTGCCCCTACCCCACACCCAGATATACAACACATGTCCACGCCCCTCCCCAACACCCAGATATACAACACACGTTCGTGCCCCTCCCCCACACCCAGATATACAACAAAGGTTCGTGCCCCTACCCCACACCCAGATATACAACACATGTCCACGCCCCTCCCCCACACCCAGATATACAACACACGTCCACGCCCCTCCCCCACACCCATATATACAACACACGTCCACGCCCCTCCCCCACACCCAGATATACAACATACGCTTAAATTTGTTTAATGAACAGACAAACCAAATCAGGAACTGATCTTTTTGACAAGTTAACAAAAAACTAAAAAATATCAGATTGAAAATCCACTGCATTATGAAATAGAAATCGTTCCATATATTGAACTCCCTGAACGAAAACACTTTGTGTTATATTGATCTACTCAGCATTTATATACAGCGAGCTCAGAAGAATGAAATCTGAATCAACACAGAACAGAGCCCTGAGGAAGCTGACCTTTACTGAAAGTTCTGCGTCAATGACTTCTTCCCAAGTTTTCTTTATGTGTTCCCCTTCAAGTCTGATGTTGAAGAGCTCGCCTTGTGAGGTGACCACATGGACCAAAGCCCCACAGTTACTGGCCTCAGGCATTACATATTCCTGCTGAATCCTCATTAAGGACATCTGGAAATCTTCCTCATCATCATTAGCAAGGGAAATGTCTTCGGGGTCGGACATATTATCCTGAAAATACAGCAACAGGTTTATCAGGGTATCTTGGGGAAAAAGAACCATGGTTCAAAATGAGAAAAACAACTGTGTAATATATTTGACATCGACAAAATTAGAACTACGCCATATGACGGAACAAGAAAAATGGAAATTTTGATGAAAAAAAAATCAAAATACAATATATTATTGTTTTTTCAACTAGAAAGTGATGCGAGGACTTCCTTATTTTAAAAATTTGACAGTTTTTTTCCCGACATATTTGATCAATGTGATTTTGAAAGTTAGGTCCAGGTGACTTTTTTTGGGAAAAATCATTAAAAGACTTGTATACAGTTATTTTACGTTATTTATCAATAACCAAAAGGGGCATTTTTTTTCTTTCTTGTAAAGAACACATTGGAGAATCGGTCCGTTAAACAAACCTAAAATGGGAGATGCTAAAATCTCGTTGAGGTGTTTTTTTTCTGAAAAAATTTGAGATGTATGTCCTGTACTAAGCCCAGAGGAAAACAAATATTTAGTTACCCAGAGTAAGATGTAGGCTTATTATATAATTACAGGACAGCGAAATAACATTTGTTGGCATTTCAATTGCAGTAGATATACATGCATGGGCTTATTACCAGGCATGGGCTTATAACCAGGGATGGGCTTATTACCAAGGATGGGCTTATTATCAGGCATGGGCATATAACCAGGGATGGGCTTATAACCAGGCATGGGCTTATTACCAGGCATGGGCTTATAACCAGGGATGGGCTTATTACCAGGCATGGGCTTATAACCAGGGATGGGCCGATAGCCAGGCACATGCTTATTGCCAGAATACATACGGCTAAAACCAGAAACATTGAATTCTATCCATACATGTTCCTTTTGTTATCTGAATTAAACAAGAACACGATACTTCTGCTATCTCAAAACCATGTTGGCTATCTCAATTTATTTGCCCGAAGAATTTCAGTAATAACACATGGTCAGCACAATGACAGAATGTTTCTACCACGTAGGACCGCAGTGGATGATTGATTCAGTTCAAGTTCACTAGACCTTCATCCCTGGGTCGTGGATTTGAGGCCTACATGGTCTAGTTTTCCTCCATTACCAAAACCTGGCACCATAGCTGTTAATAGGATGTAATACACAAACGAACCAAACCATTTTGACCACATCTGGTTAGAACTTATTGTGTAAAATTGAGAACAGTTCTGAACCAGTGGCAGCATTTGATTCAACTAATCAGAAGACAAGAGTGGCCATCTTGGATTTTGTGTCAACCTGAATACAACAGCATCTTTAAAGACTGAAGAAAACATTATTCAAATTTTTCATAAAAAGTAAATTTTTCTTACCAGTTCGTCAATCTGTGACCTAGAATTTTCACTGTGGAGCGACAACTCTTCTAGTAACTCCGCTGTCAATGAAATTGGGTATAATTACTACTTATAATTATAATTTGATGTTGTATAGTACATAATGTTTTCTTGTAGGACTGGGTATTGGGAAGCAAAACCGTTTTGAAATATTTTGCATTATTGAATTGAATATTGCATTACGTATTGTAATATATTGCCGAGGATCAAAAACCTCCGAGGATGTGGTTTTGAATTCCTGTAAGTGTTTTCTGTCTTATATTTTGATAAATAATAAATTCTATTGATGCGCTTTAACAGGTGTTTATCCTTTTTATTTATTTTGACAGTATGTTCCCTCTCAGTACAAGAAATAAAGAAAACAAGACGACACTGTCGTCGTTATCCCCCGCTCGCAGTGCAAATTAGTCATTAAAAACATGAAGCGTAAAAAATGGGTCATAATCAGCATCCGCAGTATGTTTTCCGTAGAGCAACCCTAGATACACCATTGATGCAAGTTTAATCAGCATAGCACTTATAGTAGGCAAGATATAGATGAGAGCAATTCTTCTTAACCAGGTGCATGGACAGATGGACACACAGACAGACCCCATTTCTATATCCACCGCCAACTCGCTGAGCGAGGGATAACAAAACTAAAATACTGTTGAATTTGTCACACCTGTTAAGGGGAGGCTACTACATATAAAAAAAATCTGCAGTGCAGTGGGACAGGGATACTTAACTTTGATTACTCAAGGGTGCTTGCACTTAAATCCTTCTTCCTATTTCTTATATACCTCTTTCTTTCATTCTAAACTCTTCATTAACTCATTACTCCTGAAATTTCATAATGAACTATTCCAACCTCTGAATTGGAAGAGTTCAAAAGTGTCTTCAGGGATGAAAGAGTTGACTACCTTCATCTATCGTTTTTTTTCTTCCATCTGAACTTACCGATCTTGCTTTCGTTTTCTTTCTGTTGTTGTTCCATCCTTGAGTCGGATTTCACCGATGATGTCCCGCTGCTTTTTGGAGGGGTGCTTCCAGTTTTCCACGAAGGAGGTGAAGTCATTTGTTTTTGAGGAGTGAAGTAGGGCTTGACCTCTCTAGGGTTTGGTGACCTGTAATGGGTCGAGCGTTGCTGGGGTTCAGAAGTCTGACGGTCAGTCTTTCTCTTGTTCGTATTCAGGTTCAGATGTAGGTTTTTCTTGTTGTGTTTCATGTTCGGTGAGCTCAAAGGGGCTGAGCATGGCGACTGAGACTTGATTGGGGAGAGACTGCGTTCGTCGGATTCTATCGGAACTCTTGCTGCTGCAATAACGACAGGCTGAGGCCGTGGCTTCCTAATCTTGGAGATGGCTCCAGTGTTTTTGTCAGTGATAATTAATGGATAAGGCCTCATCTGTGCAGACAAGTCATTTAACTGGACAGGAAACTGCTTAGCCTCCCCAGTGGGAGTCACATCATCCCTTGCTTGACCTTGACCTTTAGTAGAGACATTATTGAAAAAGGTTTCCTTATTGTCAAGCTGAAGATTATGACATTGACCTTTAACTTGTGAGTGAAATTCAGAAGTTTCTTCATCCCCAGAAGCAAACAAATCATCCATTGGGATAGAACTATTTTCTTCTCCGTTTAACGTCATGGAGGCCATAAGGATTTCCCACTTGGGTAAGTCGTGATGCAATGGAACTTTGCGGTGTGTTCTTTCTTGCAAAGTGTCTGTGGGAATTGGACCAGTTCTGTTTGAACCTTCATCTTCTTCAGAACTGTGGATATCTTCAGTGGAACTGTGCGGTGAAAAGTCATGTATCCTTGGTTCCCCGCTGGATACACTACCTTCCTGTAGGGAATTCTCACTAGAAGAGTATTTCTGTCCAGTCAAGGTCGCTGTGTCCTCTAAAGAATCCAAAACTGTTGGCAAGTTTGCATTGTTGGAGGTGGAGTCATCGAGCAGGGAACCCAAGTCGGGCAACTTGTCCTCAGCATCAGTATGTCTGGACTGCACACTAGGATCTCCCTGAACCTCCTCCCTTTCATCCTCTTCTGCAATACTGTGATTACTGGCACGTCGACTTTCACCAGTTGCCCTGTAGTCTGTTGTTGCCGCTGCCCAGTGTCTCGTCTCAACTGGAGAGTCCTTCATATTTTGTCGAAGGGCTTTGTCAAACATTTCATGCACAACATCAGGAATGGAAGCTGGTCCTTGCCTTTCGTCTTCGGACACCATGTTGCCAAGCAATGCCTCAAAATCTGGAATATTGGCGTGACTTCTGTCGAAATAATCCATAGTGTTTTCTATATCTTCACCCTCTGAATTGGAATCACTGTCCGGGTCTGGTTGGAAAGGCTCCAGAAAATTCTTGTATTTTCCTTCAAAATTTTCTACCCCTACATCAATGTCATTTACGTATTTTCTGAAAAATTCCTCTGGATTTATGGCATAATATTTGGCTGGGCTAGGAGGTGGCATCACTCCAAGGTCTTTTGTGCTTCCATGGTAACTCGACAGCGTGATATGGCTCGGGTTTGGGAGAAGATTCGGGGGATGGCGTGGTGTGACTATTCCAACAGACGTCAGTATTTCCTCCCCGATGCCATTTGACCCAAAAGGAGGTAAATTTGATCTAGGTTTATGGGCTGCAGTACTACCAATATCTTTTGTCCCATCATTACCAGTCTGAGATGAATCAGAATGTGAAATTGCTGAGCTGTGCGATACAGTTGAGCCTGTAGTCAAAGTTGACGCACCCTTTGACCTCGAAGAAGTACTCTGTGACAATGACGATGTACTCGGTGATGTTTGGTATTGAACTTTAACCTCTTCAACGAGAGCCTTATCAATGTCATCGGAGATTTTGATATCGGTGCTGAGGGGAGATGATTCAAGCACTGATACGAAAGTTTCGGGTGCTGGTCCTCCTGTAGCAGAAAAAGAAATTGATGAATGACAATTGAGGACATCCTGGCAAGGTAAATATAAGAGAATTTATGTAACCATAACAACAGGCTAACTCTGATATGATACTGCTTATCAAGACTTTGTACGGGAGATAACTCTCACACAAATAAAGCATGATGTGTAAGGCAGCATACAGCCTTAAGTGAAACTATAAATATCTAACACCAAAAGTTTTGTCTCTATGAATTAAATTGTTAATTTGAAATTGTTTTGTAAACCTTAATGGTATTGAGTTTCACCCTCTTGCCTCAATTAATGCAAACTGACTTTGGGAAGAGTCATCCTCCGTTTGTTGAACAACTAACTAACTTACTACTGTCTACCTCAAACAATTTAGGGTGTAAATGTCTCTTATGACCTTTGAATTCCTTGACATTAATGTGCGTATTATTCTGAATAAGTTCCTTGAAAACAACATCATGGTAGAAGAGTGTTAAAATATTGATATTTCACCAGTACCTGTGAGTAATTTGAAGGCCTCATGTTGCAGTACTTTACTTGCAGAGGGGCGGGCATTCGGGTCCTTCTTCAGGGCAAATTCCACCAGATTGTAGACGTCTCGACTCACATTAGCAGGAAGGTCTTTAAGGGGTGGTTCCCGTTCTGCAATCTGAAATAACAGATCAGAGTTTCTCATTTCTTATTCATGTTTTTATCAAGTACATGGGTTTTCCTCATTATCTAGGTATTCCATTATTCCTGAATGAGCTTGGGTAAAAAAAACTTGTTCAATTTTTTCATACATTTTCTCCTGTGTTCTTTATTGTTTAAGTAAGCAGAAAATTTTCAAGTCATACTAATCAACAAAGCCTCCAATTTAACTTTTATTGAAAGAAAAAATAACGGAAAAAATCTCCAAATATCACTACAGTGTATCATCTATAAGAGAAGTAAACCTGACTCTTTCATTTTTATGTCTCTTTCCATGTGCCAAACCCCCATTATAATGCCAAATTTCAACTGAAAACATGGCAGTATACATGTGACATTGTTTTGTCCCAGACAATAATAGAATGTCATCAGGGTTAGGAATCCCTGACGTTCACATATCAACATCATTGTTCAGTTTAGTTGTGGTGAAAGAAATCTACCTTCCTTCTGAAGGGAAGTAACTCCATAAATATGAATGATAGGTGCTGAGAAATTTCGTTTCTAAAAATATTTTCCTTTTTCTGTTATTTTTCTGGATATTTTCTTACAAACAGGACATATGCGTTTTACAAGGAATCTTTGGTAAGCATTGATATTTTGTTAATTTTCTAATTGTTACGAAGAAAAAGAATGAAATAAATGGTAATACAATGTATATTTATTTATTCAAGAATTGAAGGAATATAACTTACAATGAAATTGAGTGTGCCGACATATCCGTACCGCCTGACCCAGGGGGGCCAACCACTCAGCATGTGGATCAGGACGCAAATGGCTGCCCACACATCTGACCTTGCACCATGACCTTGACCTTTGGCCTTCTCTGGACTAAAGCTTGTCGGAGTTCCAACAGGACTGGCCTCCCTAAGGACATGCTCCATGCGACGTGCCACCCCAAAGTCGGAGACAACCAAATTGGTGGTATTCTTTCGCAGTAATATATTATCAGCTGTAAATTGAAAATTATTTTTTTATTTTCATTTTATTCAATCATTGAAGAATTTCTGATTAAAAACTAGAAAAATGTCAAAATGACATGAAAGTCACCCCATCATTCTATATGATCATTTTCCGATAAATCATTGACCAAGCTACAACAGATATATTTCCACCTATCAATCAAAATGGTAAACAATGACCAGGTGTTAATACATACACGCTGTTCAGGTAGTAATGCCATCACATGGAATTAATAAGAAAGCATGTGGCAAATATAACGTTAGCGTTGACAGACACCTCGAATACAGGGAGATCTGTGCGCTGACACGGTCATCTGGCATGGGCAGAAAGGTAATTGGAATATAACGATGTTGTTTTCACAACATTAAGTTTCAGAAAAGATTCAATCTTATATACGGATAAATCTTTTACTTTTTTTGTTTGTTATAAAATACACTTTTCCAAGTAGTTTTCTGATCGTCTGTAAATCGTCAGAAATATTTTTCAAACTCGTACTTTTATCATTATCGGTTCAATTTGCATGGATGCCACCTTGTAAATTCCTGCCGATTAATAGTATCATGCGACCTTGACTCTTTACGGTACACAAACTTGCTAACTTCGCCACTTTACCCATGTTGTTTTGACACATTCCTACAGACAAGAAGATTGAATAGTTCAGCATGATTTTACCCAAGAACGACATTTTAACCCCAGAGAGCTAAATACGATGCAAATCTTCGTTATGTTTTCCCATACGTGGTATTTATCAATTCACAACGTAATGTCCTGAAAAGTTGGGCCTACTTTACTCGAGTTTATTTATCCGATTCTATCGTATAATATGACTTAAACTTGCAACTTTTCATAATTGTTAAATTGGCAATGCAATTAGGGGTTATTCAACGAAATTTAGCAGTTTATTGCTGCGAACATATTTCAAAACGTTTCCGAAAATCCTCGAAAAATCCTACGATAAATGGTTGGGACCAAGGACTGGTTTTGGATTGTTCATGAGTATCGTGTACACCCCTTTCTTGACATTTCATTTTTCCTTAAAAAAGTGTGCACTATAATTAGTAATTTGTAATTCCCATGCGAAATTTGGAACGCCTTTAGGTTTTACGCCATTCCTGTTTAAAAAGGAAATTGATATCCGAGTTATCAAAGAGCTTTTAATTAGCACCTGTTATATTCCGACAGAAGCAAACATTTAACAGCATAAGGCAACAGAGGTCAAAATCTGGGACTGAAACCGAAATTAATAGTCCCCAGTGGACTAAAAACCACATAAAATATTTTTTGAATGACAATTGATCCTTACTTCTTGACACTCTTAAAAAGTCAGGAGTACTTCATTGATTGCTTTGGATGTCCTCACAATAGCTAGGGTCATAATGCTAGTTGAACTTTTAAGGGAGATTACTCAAATAACAAGAGGCACAAGGGGCTTTTATTAAGGGCCTTAGCGGTCACCTGAGTTATATTATAGGTACTAGTACAGGTAGCTTAATTTCATTGATGGGATGTACAAAATGTGGAAAACAACATGTAAACAAAGTGAAATACAATACTTGTCATGTCACCAAAGAATAAGAACTTTAAATTATTCAAATAAATTATTTTGCTATTGAGAAGTATACCCTCTTCCCAAGGGAGAGCAGATGATCTGGAGGATAATGAAATTTACAATTAAGAAAATTAACTGAGTCAGATGAAGATTTTTTTTAACCATAATCCTCATTTGGGCCCCAGCCCTCCAGCCCCTGGCGATGGGGCAGGATCTTATTTTTTCTCCTACCATCTAATTGTCATCTGGCATCATAATCATTCCAACCAAGTTTGAATAATTTCCTGCTGAAAATGGTCAAAATATACCGAAAAGTGTTATTTCCCTATATAAACTATAGTAAATTTTACCCCCTCCCCAAAGGAGAACAGATTGCCCGGTAACACTGAAATTTACAATTCAAATAAAGACCCGGATGATCTTTTTATACATGCAAATAAATTGACTGTAGTACCTCTGAATCTGGAGAAGATTTTTGAAATATTAGTTCCCTTTCCCTTTCGAGCCCCGCCCAGGCCCCTGGGGTTGGAGCAGAAATCCCGATTTTACAATCTGATACCATCTTTCTCCAAGGATGATTCTCACCAAGTAAGAATAATTTCCTACTGAAAATGAACAAAATATACCCAAAAGTGTTATTTCTCTACATAAACTATAGTAAACTTTACCCTCTCCCCAAGGGAGAACGGATGGCCCGGGGGTCCTGAAATTTACAATTTAAATAAAGCCCCTGATGATCTTTTCATCCATGCAAAGAAAATGACTGTAATACCTCTAAGTCTGGAGAAGAATATTTTTGAAATATTGGTTAATTTTCCCTTTGGAGCCCCACCCAGGCCCCTGGGGTTGGGGTAGGTATCCCAATTTTACAATTTTGTAGCCTCATCTACCAAGGATGATTTTGACCAAGTTTGAAAAAATTCCATCCACTTGTTCTTGAGAAGAAGTTGAAAATGTAAAAAGTTTACGTGCGACAGAAAGCGATCAAAATAGGTCCCTTGAGCAAAGCTCAGGTGACCTAAAAATCATAGGTATGAAGAGCTTGTATTGCCCACAACTTTCTTTAGTTACACAACATTCATTTCCCTTTGCCCAATATTGTTTCAGACAAGATTTTGTTAAATCCTTTCACCCATATTAGTAGTCCTTTAAAGATTAACCCTGATTTTCCTTATTGGGGAATCATATCCTTCATTTATACAAAGTTTGATTCCCTAGTCCAAAGGACAAATTCTGAAATTGTTCACAGACAACACAGCATGGCATAAGCTAACCGTAAAAGAAAAATGTTCACTGGGGTTTTGAATTTTTTTTTTAAATGAAATGATGCAATAATATTGAGGTAAATACAAAATGTTTTGCTATTTTTTTGAGGAATATATAAGAGGAGTTTATAAAGTCAAATACAGCTTAAAGCCTAATACATCTGTACTGTATACTAGAAAAAAATTGCCCTTTGCAGTAAAATCCCTTTTTTACCCCCATATTTAATTTGCCATTCACATTAAGTTACTATATATATTATGCTTTATACAACTGTTTGGTGTAATGCTAAATGTGCCCTCATTACAGAGGGTGGAAAGGCGAAAATTAAACTTCCAAAAACCCTGACAATACCTTTGATGTCCTCGTGTATAGTGGATCGTTCCTCCAGGTAGACCAACACCTGTAAAATCTGTTGTAAGTAGTTCAGCGCGGTCCAGTGACTCAGCCGATGTCCCGTCTCCTTCTGTAGGTTGATAGTTTCTGTAAGACACCCTCCTGTAACCAAACAACAAGGTTAGACTAATCAAATAAAGCAAGATGTGCTCTTTTAAAACTGTTTTGTGCTTGAACACAGTGAAACCCAGGGTTCAACAGCCAACACTAGTTCTCTAGAACTCTGGGACTAGGAGATTTCAGCAAGGACGTCATCGTCAGATACCCAGGGCTAATGTTGCTCTGCTTCTCACTCAGCAGCGAAGACACCTTTTATTCATGATATCAATTTTGAGCACACAGAATCTCCCCCATGAATATTTCAATTGGTCGGCAAATATGGATACATAGATCATGAAATAAGAATAGTTTTGGAAAACTGCTTAAAATACAGATCTCCTTAATAAGGCAGTACTTATTTGATGTCCCCCACAGTCAATCACGCTTTTTTAACGAAAGAGATTGGACTACTTACATTGACATGGACAAGTAAATAATCTACTCAACTAGTCATGTGATCTACCAGGCCAAAATAGTTCATGTCTAACCCAGTTTCAAATCTGCACATGATGAACAGGGTTTTTCATTGCTATGGGTTCAATCTATCAGTACTATATATCTATCCAACAAGTCATTAGGATTGATATGTCTCACCTGTGCCCCGCTTTGACCATCAATGCACATGTCAAGTTTGGTTGGTCTAGCACTAATAGTTTCAGAGAAACTAACTTAAACACAAAAACTTAATGTTGATGGAGATGTTGACAAAGTGAATGGACCATGAAAGGTAGGTTGCATCCAGCATTGGATGCATGGGTTGAGATGTACTACCTAAGATGCATCTATGGTCCAGGTTTGGTTGATCTAGCACTTATACTTTCAGTAAAACTAACTTAAACGCAAAACCTTAATGTTGATGTAGATGCTGACAAAGTCAATGGGCCATGAAAGGTAGGCCCCATCCAGCATTTGATGCATGGGTTGAGATGAACTACCTAAGATGCATCTATGGTCCAGGTTTGGTTGGTCTAGCACTTATACTTTCAGTAAAACTAACTTAAACGCAAAATCTTAATGTTGATGGAGATGCTGACAAAGTCAATGGACCATGAAAGGTAGGCCACATCCAGCATTTGATGCATGGGTTGAGATGTACTACCTAAGATGCATCTATGGTCCAAGTTTGGTTAGTGTAGCACTTTCAGTGAAATTGACTTAAACGCAAAAACTTAATGTTGACGTCGCCTTCACCAAAAAGCAACACATAAATCTCGCTTCCACTACTTGGTGGCGGCGAGACCAAATCCCATGCCTTGTTATAAGCCGAGCCATGTCAAATACAATTTAGCAGAAATGTTATAAATGCTATTTCATTGTCCGACTATATGTTGGGGTTTATGTGTTGAACCCCTGGGGATATTGCAGGATTTCTATAATTAGACATTTAATTGAGGTCTGGTTTATGCAGATTTCTAGATTAAAGAGGGTTCAATTAAACCAAGTTAAGTTTTTGGTAACGATGGGATTGCAGATAAGTTTTGCTGCATGAATTTATAACGTAAATAAAACACACTGCTGCCAGCATTTTCTTTATTTCAAAATGAACTTATCTCTTTCACAACGGTTAAATTATATTAATCACTTGTGTTGGCCAAACAGAAATGTATATTTTTAAACTCTATTTATTTTACAACAATTATGAAACAAGTTATATCAACTTATATACATCACTCTTGTTGGCATACGAGGGGTCTAAATGTGGAGGAAATGGAGTACTCGAAGAAAAACCCTCGTACATGCAGTCAGGCAGGTGACCCCGTACCTTTCACTACTATTAGGGAATCAAACCCTGGTCGCCTTAGTGGAAAGACGGTTTGTTATCCACTGCGCCATCCGAACACCAAAAAGTGGAAATGTGTAGGGCGTGTAATTGTGAAATTTAGCTAAAAAATCAAGAATAAATCCAAATCCCCAGCTGTCCTGGTAACAGGTGAGTGTGCTATCCACTGCCCCACCCAACTACCCATCTACAGAATTAATTTGCACAAAATGATCTAAAGTCTTACCATCTATAAACTCTTCAAAGATGTAGATGTTGTGTCCGTGACGTATCGCTCCATACAGTTGTACAATGTTCGGATGAGACAGATCACTCCAGATGTCAAGTTCACGTTCGTCAAACTTGAGAATGTTTATCTGGGAAAAGAATGAAAATGAAACATTTTGAAAACTTAAAAAAGAATGAAAATGAAACATTTTGAAAACTTAAAAAGTATATTTCAATTTAATAAATATCAATAACAATGTAAACTTTATTTATTTACAACAATTATGAAACAAGTGTTTTTTTTTAATAACTTATAGCTATGTACTCTTGTTGGCCGGGTGTTAGCGTGCAGGTGTGGGGGGGGGGGGGGGGGTTTTTCCGGTGGGGGGAGCCGGAGTACCCAGAGAAAACCCACGTGGTCAGGCAGGTGACCCCATATTTTTTCTTTTTGGGGAATTGAACTCTGGCCGCCTTGCTTTAGACTTTTTTAGGGTAATGAAAAATACATTGTTTATTTTTTGTAATTCAAAACGTACCATATTTGACCGCCACCGCCAACAAGACCCCACTCGCAATTAACACCCCCCCCCCCCCCCCCCCCCCCCCCCTCCCTCCCTTATTTCGTCTGTTTCTCTTAAAAAATATACATTTTTTGTCTCTGAGCATAAGCAAATTATCTGTATCTAACTTGATGCAATGAAACATTAACCCAAGTTGAAATTTTACAAATAATAATGTCACTGAATTAGGCACAAAAGGAAATAGTATACAGTGTCATGTTCAATTCTCTACTGTGATTCTGTATTGGTTTCTTTTATAAAGGATGATGGAATTATGTATTCCTGAAAGAACCGAGGATGATTATTATAAAAAAGTCATTCGGATTGATATGTCTCATGATCACCTGTGCCCACTTTGACTATCAATGCATGCACATATCAGAGAAACTAACTTAGATACAAAAACTTGATGTTGATGAAGATGCTGACAAAGTGAATGTTAGGCTGCATCTAGCATTTGATGCACGGGTTGAGATGTACTACCTAAGATGCATCTATGGTCCAACTTTGGTTCGTGTTGCAGTTACACTTTCAGTGAAACTAACGGGTAAGTTAAATACATAAACCTAATGTTGACGCCGCTGCAGCCGCCGTTGTTGCTGGTAATGCAACACCTTAGTCTCACTTCCACTACTTTGTGGCAGCGAGACAAAAAAATATGATGGAATATGACAAAATTTCAAGATATATAAATGGCTGTTCTTAAAACAAAACATTGTTCTGTTGCTGAAAGAACACCATGCTTTTCCTTTTTTAATGGTTGTGTACATTGCAGATTTTAACGTAAAACAACATGTTTTGACTTGTTTCTTTGTTTATGTTTTACGTCCAATTAACAGCAGTGGATGTGCCAGGTTTTGTTGGTGGAGAGGAGCAGGAGTTTCCAGAGAAAACCCCCCGAACTACAGCCCAGTGGTGGAGGGCTAGTGGTAGCAGAATGACAGACGCCTTAACTACTTGGCCACCATGGACCCTATTTGACTTGTACTGAATCCTTTATATGTATGGTCTGTATCAAAGAAACAAATTACAACATCATTTTAAAATACCATTTCGTGTTGGTAAAGACAGGTAATATCGCTTTGATATCGAAAAATATTTGACCAACCTTTTTGATGCAGAACTTAAAGTCTGTGTTGTAATCTTGAGCCAGGTGACATTTGCCAGACATCCCAGTTCCCAAGTGAGTCAGACGGATCCACTGAAAATTTTTCTGGTAACGTGTCCGAAAAATAGAAAATTTCTCCTATAGGGGAAGAAATAAATTGAAAAAATAGTTTGTGTTTATCTAATGTAGATTTCAATAGATATTTTTCAAACAAGATGAAGAAAAAAAAAAAGTTGACATTACAAAATTTGTGGTATATATATTTTCAAAAGAAATGTTTTAAGGCTTCATGATCACTTGGTGTTTTTTATTGAAAAGTTTCTACTTTCATTATTAGAAAATAAAACTGTGCAAATACAAAATGTGACATTTTTATCAATAAAGAAAAAATAAGAATTTTGTATCATGTTTAGATAACCCGATATATATATGCTAATTACAATACCTTGTTTTCCGTGAGGACCACACCCTCCTCTCGTAAATGTTTTTTCTCGTAGCTTTTGTCTCTCTGGTAAACTTCTTTGATCTGTTTCCAGTACCGTGCTACATATCGGAGGTTTTCTTTGAAGGCATATACAACTTCTCCGATTCCCGGGTATCCAACCGGTCTCATCTGAACCGATGTCAGCTGTTCGCTTGCCATTTCAGGTGGATAAAAGTTTAGGGGGAGACTACTCGTCCTTTCTGCTCCGTAAACCTTTTCCGGATTAAGAGAAGTGTATTTTTCAACTTCGGCAATACTTGGAAGTGGTTCCTCTGGTGAGGGTAAACTCTTTGTGGCTGCGGGAATCTCTAATTTAGCTGTGCTGAATGAAACTTTACGTTCTTTTGGACGTACAGATTTTGGAATGGTTTCATGTTCTTCAGTTTTGTGAGCATGAGGAGCTGATCTAGACTGACTTGGATATGGATATCTATTGTCATCGGAAATGGCCAGCCGCGCTGGACGTGTCTGTCTTTGATTAATCACTTCTCCAGATTCTGTTCTTCGAGCAAATGGCTCTGATCGAGATCCAGTAAATTGACTAGCTGTTGCGGTTTCTGATATACTCTGTAGGTTGGGCTGGAATACAACGCTGCTTCTTGAAGAACGTGATGGTCTTGTCGATGGTATGCCTCCGATACTACTACTTCCAACAGAATTCAGACTACCCAACTGAATACTGGACAGACTGAAATAATCCTCTCCTTCATCCAATAGAATGTCTTGACTGCCATCTTCAGGTCTTCGTGAGAATCGAGCAAGATATTTCTTTAATTTTGGCCAGAGTTCCTTTCCACGCTGAGAGATTTTTTCTGGATGCTGTTTGAATTTGCTCTGGATTTTTTTACAGATTGGTAACGGACAGGCCTGTTCTGATCCCGAGGATCCACACTCCAAACATAACTGCAAATGTTTGGAAACCAAGCAGAATGCTCGCTGGCACATATCGCAACACTTGAAGTCACATGGACAATTTCCAAAATGGCTGATGAGAGAAAACAGGAAAGCACAAATGCTGCAATCTGCGACAACATCGCTTCCTCCCATTTTACGTGAATTCAAGCATGCTACCAAGCACTCACTGATTTCTTTCATAATATCAGGAGGAATATCCTGAAAAGAATAACCAAATAAATTTCAATTTCAAATATTTTTTTCGTTATCAAAATTCTTTCAAACCAGGCATTTTCTTAAATATTTTGACACTATTCTTAACTGATTAAGTTTCCTTATTTTGGAGGTGGAATCGAAAAATTTCACTTTCATTTTTGACTTTTGAAATCAACAGAATTTTAAAATCTTGAATGTAAATTTACTTTCATCAATCTTAAAGTCTTGAATGTAAAATTGCCTTGAACAATGTAAGTCTTTTGTGTAAAATTGTCTTGGTCAGTTGAAGTCTTTTGTGTAAAGTTGTCTTCATCAATCAAAGTCTTGTATGAAAGGAGTCTTAATTAAGTCTGTGATGTAATTATTTTTTCTTGATCAATCAAAGTCTTGAATGTTAAGTTGTCTTCATCAATCAAAGTCTTGTATGTAAAGCAGTCTTAATTAAGTCTGGAATGTTAAGTTTTTCTTGATCAATCAAAGTCTTGTATGTTATGAGCCGTACCTCCTTCAGTTCAGCCAATTTCTTGTAAGTCTCCATTTTCTTTTCTTCTTCAGAAGTATCCTTTTTACGATATTTGAAGTTAGATGATGGAGCACTACTGTTGGTGGGGGTGTCTGTTTTGGATGACTCATTATTGTTGTCTTCAGGCAGAGGTTCCTGTAAGCATACAGAACAGTCTGTGAATCACTTGGACCAAAGATTTCATTATTTCCAGAATATAATCATAAATAATGATAATAAACAATAGTGCCTGATGTGTAGTAATTGTTCTTGAGTTACATCAAATATATAATCCATATTCATTTAGATTTTTTTTCATGGAGGTGTGTTTGTGTGTGTTCATTAATTCATGCGTTAATTAATAGTTGTTCATGAATGAAATTTTTTGTCAATGTTTTTTAAGCGTTAGAAAAATTTAGTCCTTGATTTGATGTTACTTTCTTCATGAACCACACATGAAACATACTTTCAACTTCCATATCTATTTTCAATGTAATATTAAATGCCTATGGAGGTCAGGGATCTTAGATACATCTTTAAATTTATGACCTAGGAATAAAGTCCAAAGGGCCAGGGGCTGGACTCCCAGGCAAACCGTAGTAGCATGAATAAATTTGTTTCATCATACCCACTCTGTGTGTATGTGTTGAAACAGCAAGGATTTCTTTTGTTTTTAACCCTTTCACCACTGTAGACCATAATGGACTCTTCCATATCAATGCATGGTAGAGTCTACTAAAGTTACATAGGGACGAAAGGGTTAAGTAGTACAACTGTACCATCCCTTTAGCCCTTGGGGGTCAAACCAACTTCATTTATTCAAAATATGACCACCTTAAGCTAATGATATTTCAATTTGTGATGCTGTTTAGGAGAGGTAGATTTTGAAGCAAAAACGCCAAGTTACCATTGGCCAACATCTTTACCTGTTCATCAATGTCTTTTTCATTATCTAAGTTATGTCTGCTTTCTTTGTTTTCTCCTTCTTTGTTCCCATTTCCTTCTCCAGAAGATTTCTAAACATTGAATGATATTTTTTTGAGTAATTGTAGTTTTCAATAAATATCAACAAATAATAAAGTTTCCATTCCAGTAGCTAACAAAACAACAAAATCAAAATTTGAGGATTTAATCATCAAACAGCAAATATTGGAACACAAGATAAGTCAGTCTTTTAAATAAAAAAGTAATTGTAAGTTATATACTTTTTCTAATCATTTCACCATTAAGAAAAATCTTTTAAATTCCAGATGCATTGAAACCAGGCTCTAAAGTTCCTCTGAGACAATTGCCCAATCAGACTTAACAACTTGGTGGGTACCTCTGCATCTGTTACATGAACAAATGCAAAGAAGAGTTCCACTAAAAAGAAATTGACTTTGACTTTCCCCCTCCTATATAAAAGATCTGGCAAACCAAACAAGAGGCCCATGGGCCTTAACGGTCACCTGAGTCCTACAGTATTTATTTTTGTTGTTGAAATATGAACCAATTTGAGTAAAAAATAGTTAAGTTTAATGTTAACTTAAGTTTGTCAGGACCATGAGCTCATCATTCCTAGACCGAGTTTCAGTAAAATCGGCCTATTAAAACTTGTTTTTAAGTTTGAAATAGTTATTTTCAAAATAGTGGCCGTGGCAGCCATATGGGATTTCTGATTGACCCGAAAAATAACAACACTTTGTCAGGACCAATTAAGTCGATCATTCCTACCATGTTTCAGTTCAATCGGCACAGCAGAACTTGACTTTAAGTTTGAAATTGTTTTTTCAAAGTGGCGGCCATATTGGATTTTTGATCGACCCAAATAAGAACAACACTTTGTAAGGAACATGAGTCGATCATTCCTACAAAGTTTCAGTTCAATCGGCCCAGCAGAACTTGACTTTAAGTTTGAAATAGTTTTTCAAAATGGCGACCGTGCTGGCCATATTGGATTTCTGATCGCCCTGAAATATAACACCACTTTGTCAGGACTATGAGTCGATCATTCCTACCAAGTTTCAGTACAATCAGTCCAGTAGAACTTGACTTTAAGTTTGAAATAGTTTTTCAAAATGGCGACCGTGATGGCCATATTGGATTTCTGATCGCCCTGAAATATAACACCACTTTGTCAGGACTATGAGTCGATCATTCCTACCAAGTTTCAGTTCAATCAGTCCAGTAGAACTTGACTTTAAGTTTGAAATAGTTTTTCAAAATAGCTGCCATGGTGGCCATATTGGATTTCTGATCGACCAGATAACGAACAACACTTTGTCAGGTAGATGTCAGTAACCTTCCCATGTAATATTAATGAAATCCCTTCGCCAGTATTTCAGCTTAAGCTGAAAATGTAAAATGTTAACGGACAACGGACGACGCACGACGAGGGACGAAGATGGATAGCAATACGTCACTTGAGCTAAAGCTAAAGAGCTTAAGAGTAACTTCCCCTGTCAAGTTATCTTTCTTTCAATGTTCAGTTTTTCCACAGGCTTTGCAGCCGATAAATTGGACACTCAGCAATTTGTTTTGAAGCTTTGCATTTACCATTTTTACACAAGGCAACATTGGTTCAGTGTAGACTTAGCAATGTAAAACCCTGTGAATTCTATTTTTCGAACCTTCAAATTTTGAACAACTACATTGTATAATTCTGTAGAGTGATTTTGATGGAATACTTATTTTGCACAAAAGTAACAAAGGTTTGTTTGTTAATTGATACCCTTTATCTTAAGGATTACAAAGATTCAATTCTTAGAAGACAACAGGTTGATATGTAACAGGGATTACATATAACAGAGTTGCCTCCCCTGTTACTGGTACATGATGTTTATCATGATAATTTTGTATATTATACCAGTAGTGTGATGAAACATATTTATATCTAGATTGAGTGTTTTGTAGAATAATATTCCTGTAATTAAATAAAAGTATATGTAACAGAGGTCATTATTATTTCAACGCCTCCGCTAGGAATCGAACCCGGTACCTCTGGCTTACTAGTCTTATGCTCTACTGAATGAGCTATAAAGAGAAAATCTCCCTAGCAGAGTCGGTAGGAAGCGGCTAGTATTTTACCAAGGTGACATACTCACCCTCAAGGAAAGAACTTGTTTCAAGTTTTCCAGGGGTAATAGTGATTCCTTTGCAAGTATCTCCGAGTAGTTTTGTCCCTATGTGGGCACCAACGTAACAGAGGTCATTATTAATTCAACGCCTCCGCTAAGAATCGAACCCGGGACCTCTGGCGTACTAGTTTTATGCTCTACCGAATGAGCTATAAAGAGAAAATCTCCCTAGCCGAGTCAGTAGGAAGCGGCTTGTATTTCACCAAGGTGACATATAGATATTGTAATGTAAAAAAGAATAAAGAATAAGATAAACTGATAAATAGATCACTTCTTATTGTGCATTATGCAAATTATCAATACACCATTTTATTGAATATGCATTTTAGAATATAATGATAACGTTTGTTACTCTGAATTGGACAAAGTTCTAGCTTTAACCCGGAATAACGATAGCATTGAGTTGTTTATAACTTGTTCCTGTTAGATTATACAGAGGAACTCGAAGCCAACCAAATTGAACCTGGGTTGACAGTGGGACTGGGAAAGTGCAGTCCTGTTGCAGATATAGTTTTTCAAATGACTTTTCTTCTACATATAGAAATATGGTTCGTTTTTTTTGACAAGCTACTCTTATCACCTACCTGACTGCCGCAACAGTCCTGGAATCCATTTCCCTGACAACCGCTATCAGAATCAGTTGGCTGCTTTTTCAAGTTATCTCCCTTGCATTTAAAGCTCTGCACTGAGGTCAAGCATCCAATTGGGGGCAGTCCGGACCACTGTTTCTTTGGAAACAGTTTTTTGACAAATAGTACTGACATCCTTCTTCCCTTTCTGAAAGGAAGGCTCTGAAAGGCTGTATTCCTAGGTGAAAACTTCCTATTGGATGCTATTCTTGGAGGAAAATCCTGAATGGTTACTTTTCTTAAAGGACAATTCCAGTTGGCTGTTTTGTGCATTTCCAGATACAAGAACTCTAGTTGTTTCACCTTCTTCTTCAGCTTCTTATTCGCTTTGGTCTGCATTGCAAGTCCTGAGAATATTGTAAATGTAAATGTAATTCCTCATTAATCTATTTATTTATTTGTTTGTTTGTTTATATATTTATTTTTTTGTATGCTTTGAATTACATACTTCATCATTAATCTGTTTATTTATTTATTATGCGCGGGGCATTTAAAAATTTCGTTTGGGAGATAAAGAACTGGTAGTTGGAGATCATTTGCATAATAATTGGACGTGGTAAGTATTGTTTTTGATATAAAATGGGAAAACAATTAAAGCATTACTTCATTTTGGGAATATAAAGCTATTTGTTGCTAGGGGAAGCAGCCTGTTATACGTATTCTATAGTAAAACTAGGAAAAAAATCACTGAGGTTTTAATCACTTTAACTTTGCCCAGGTATTGTTCCACAAAAGGAATTTGCCAATAGGTAGTCATAAATTTAAAAGTAAATATGTACATTTTTTAAACTTCTGGTTGTATCTCACGTTGCATTGTTATTTACTCTTACCTCGACCAATATTGGATTGCAGAGTAGCCAAGGTACCTAAACCAATGTCCAGTGAAGTCAACTCGGTCCATTGTTTGCCTTCGAGGAACTGTTGTCTATCCAGACAGTTGAATGGATTGTCTCCCTTCAATGAGGAAACTTCAGCAGTTTTCTTGGGCTCTAAAATAATTGAGAACAGGATTTTTAAGCTATCAACTGTCTCAGTATTTATATTTTTGATATAATAAAAAGCTATTTTTAAACAAACAAAAAAGAAAAACACAAACTTTATTCCATATTTGGCCTAAAAATCAACCTCCCCCCTTTGAGCTTGGGAGAAAAATGCAGACCAACAAAACTGTTACCATTTTTGATCTTATAAATGCCCTGGAAACTTCGCAGTTTGCGAAAATTAGAATGATGGCAGAGCCTTCCAAAATTCTCAGAAAACAGCCAGGATAGACATTTTTTTATGTAAGTTGGTAAATCATGTTGACAGGTTGGGATTCACTGACAAGGAAAAAGAATTGGTGGTGTTTAAAGGGATTTGATGTGTATTTGTTTGAATACAGTGAATATATAGTTGTCAGAAGAGGCCCCTAAAATGGTTGGTATCTTTTCTGTTCTAACCTTAGTCCCCGACTGCACGATCAGTTTATAGTATAATGTTCCTAAATGACCCCCTTATGTTGATGGGTTGTTCAACCAATTAAAACAAGGACAGAGACCATTTTTAACAGGTGCCCTTACGCTGTTTTTTTATGTCGGAGCATTCCACCCCTTCACTTTTCTAACAACCTAATTGAAAAGAAGTCTCTAATTATTGCTTCTTTTAGAAAAGAACTTTGGGAAGTTCAACAAATTCTGATTTTCCAGACCTGCTGTCAGTGCCCAGTGGATTTTTAAATCAAATAGGGAAATAATAATGAATTTGTCCCACTAATTTAATTGTTTATAAATTTAAATTATATATTTCTATTGTATAAATAAAAATTCATAACTATTTGCTATAATCAACTGGCATTAAACACCAAATCAGAAAACATTTCAAAGAAATTGGAACTCTTCTCTGTTGGAGATACAATACAGATTGTTAGAATTATACCTTAAGCTAAACAGACTTTGTGCAGGACACAAATCCGTTTCCTTACCTTCAGTGCATTCTTGCACAGTTCTATTGGTCATCATCAGGAGCTGGTTTGTAATGTCTTTCAGCTCCCGTGTGCATTTACTCTTCAGCCGTAAACTTTCAGTGGAAAATACCTCTAGGTCAATATTGAGCTCACATTCCACATAGTCATTGCCATCTTCTATGTCCTCCTCAAACTCTTCTTCTGCCTGCAGTTCCATCTTTTCCCTGCTAAAGTAATCTTTTTCCTCATTTGTTTCTGAACATTTGAACATGGTATCAAAATCTGTTGACACCAGGCTTTTCTTTCCGTTTTTGTCGAGGCTGTCCTTCAGCTGAGCGACCTCCTTTTCCGCATTCAGTACCGAGGCCTCCAGTTGAGCAATCTCTTTTTCTGCATCCAATTCTGAAACTTCAAGAGACAAGATATCAGAATATGAAGAATCCAGACTCATCTTGCCATTTATGTCCATATATGCTTTCCATATTTCAGATGACAAGGTATCAAAATCGGCAGACTGCGAGTCCTTTGTACAATTTATGTCCGTGCCGAACTTTAGAGAAGGTAGATCACTGTCCTCGTTTAAACTGTCAATGCATAAACTTTTCTCAAATTCGCGACTTTCAAATGTCTTATATTCCGATTCGTCAACACTCAATGTCTCGGGCTTAACTTCATCTGATTTTTCCGTTTCGTCGTTGTCCTTGTCTGGATCGCCCTCCGACTTGCTGTTCCCCAAGTCCAAGGAGACGATTGAGATGTTGGACTGCACGCTATCAAAGGTATGCTCATCCTCCACGGCAAAAACCATCAACTCTTTAACCGGAGTTTCTTCCTCTTCCTTCAGATCAACAGTGTTGCCCATCAGTGATGCAAATCTGAAATATGAAAGATAAGCAATATGATTATCAAAATTATGACACAAGTTTTATCAACTTAATGGTATATAAAGTCAGACTTTTTGGCGAAGATGGGACGCAAAAAGGGGTCTTAATGTGGGAGGAAACCAAAGCGCCTGGAGAAAAGCCATCTTGTCAGGCAGCAGGTGACCTATACCTTAATTTTCACGCTTTATGGAAGAATCGAACCCCAGCCACCTTGGTAAAAGGCAATTCAGTGCACTTTCCAAAGTGGAACCTGACCACCCAAGGGCCAGGAGGGCAACTTACGGCACATATAACTAACTGTGAATTATAATACAGATGGCGCTGACTATTCCTTCCCCCCCCCCGATTGATTGAATCATGTATTGGCTTTCCTAAATAGTACGATCAAATACCTGTTATCTTGAACAGCTGGCGGCGGACTGGTTGTTGAAAAGTCACTTGACCTCCATTGCTGGTCGTTCTGTCGACGGCACCAGTCCTTGCTCCATCTCTTGTCTAGACTGTTGTCCTTTTTCAGACCATCATTTGGGTCCGGGATATTTTGTTCTTTCTTTTCCAGTGGAACAATCTTTTCCTCGGAAGTTTCTTTCTCGGAACTATCAGATTTTTCCTCAAGGTTGTATATATCTTTCAAACCTGACTTTTTATCCGTTATGTTGAAGCTTCCTTTAGACTTCCCTTTGAAATCATTCTCCTGTATTTCCTTCATCATTTCCATGACCCGCTTTGACGGAACTCCGTCTTTCTTGAACTCCTCCATTTGTGAATCTTCAATGTGTTTAGCACACCTTGCATTGTTCAGCTTCGTCATATTCTTAATCTGGATACAATCTTCCACACTTCTGTTGGTATCTGAATCTGTAATCTCTCCTTGGTCAAGATGGTGACTATTTTTGTCTGGTACAAAAACTATTCTAGCATGGCAAAGTCCTTGGTCAGTCGGACATGTGAGAAAGACTAAACTTTCTGTTTCGAAGTCTTCTTGATCCGACATGTCTTTTGGTTCTTCATAAGTTTTTATCAACCATACGACATTGACCAACTGCGGTCTTTACCGATAGTGGACGCGGCCTGACATGAAGTTAATGAAGTGTTTTGTGAATTAACAAACCAAAAATGCAAGTCCTTCAAATTTCCTTGTAAATATATATATAGAATTTAGTACAGTATTATTCAACACTGCACATCAGGCAGGTTTATTTCCTTCTATGCCCTGGCTGAAAACCGGCCGACCCAGCTTAACACGCCAGGTACTTCACTGACATTGAATGAATCACCCAGATTTTGAGTGTAGAACCCTCCTGTTAGCTATCTCTGGTCTGTCTGGGTATCAGCTGGTACACTTTAATTTCCTTGTCATTGTTGTATTAATTGCTCCAACTCATATAGTGTAAATAAGTCCTAAACGCCTTACAAGGACACATCCTGTAAAAAGGAGGAAGAAATTAAAAAACAATGTCAGCAAAGTACGCAAATATACACATATTTGATTACATAATACACGGATACTTAGGGCAGAGGGAACTTGAGGATATATATGATTTAATATAGATTTAATTATACTTTTTCTTTTTTTTTAAATCGTCATTATTTTCTTTCTCTGTTTGTCCATTCATTTTAATTGTCTTATCAAACATTTTTTTATTTCTTTCGAGTTTTTCATTTTCCCCCACAGAACATTATACACATTCGGGAATTCTCATGATGGAGCCTGTGCTGAACCCCTGTAAGGCATATATCATATGATAAACACCTCCACAAGAGTCGAGGAAGGTCTCTCACACATTTTTCAATTTTCCTTTCACCTTTCAAATATTGAATAACAATGCTCAAATAGATTTGTGTCCGATTTACACTTTATCAAAACATTTATTGTAATTCACAGCGTATATTACAGAAAATTATTAACATACATACGACTTCCTCAGGTAATGACACACATTTTAAAAAGATACAAAAGCTATAGTTCAGTTTAATATATAGTTCCTGTTAAACTGAACAAATGTTAATAGAGTGTAGTGTTTACTTTTAAATATAGAACAGTTAAAATCTTTTTAAACATTGTTGGTGCTCATTTTTAAAATATGAACTTATTTTGTTTTACAACAATGATGAAACAAGTTATTACAACTTATAGTTTAACTCTTGTTGACCTGTATGTGTGTATATATGTATGTGTGTGTGTGTGGGGGGGGAGGGGGTCTTAGTGTGGGAGGAAACCAGGTAGCCTGGAGAAAACCCACATGGTCGGACAGGTGACCCCATACCTTTTCATGTCCAATCGGGGAGTTGACTATCAGCCGAAAGCACCTGTCTAATTTAACAGATTTAAGTGTCTCGGTGGCTACATTACTGTATATGATTTATTTAATATCCATATTTGAGGTTTGGGTATTCTACTTATATATGCAGAACAAAGGTATATTTTTCAAACTATTGTCTTCTAAACGATGTATCTGCTTATATAATAAAGATCCTCTTTTCAAAAAGAATTGACAGTAGGCCTAGGAAACTTGGAATTGTATCTTTTGTAACAGTACAAAAATGCATGGTCAGACTGCGATTTGAACCCGGGATCCTCCAAACTCTAGATGGACGCTTTACCAATTGAGCTTAACCAAGTGTTGCTGGTGAATGACCCGGTCCAGTTCCGCAACACTTTAATGAACAAAAATAGATTTCTACCATCATTGAAAGGTGTATATATACATCGATATTGTACTCATTACATTTTCTGATTTTCTTTTATACTGGTAGTGCTTATTATCATATTTATCCAGCAATAAGCGCATGCCTGATAATAAGCCCACCCATATCTATTTAAGTTCAGCAACAAATGTCACAACAAATGTTATTTCAATGTTCTGTAACATTATCTCACCTTCTTCTTTGGGTGATAAATTATGTGTTGGGCCCCTGGGCTTATTTTATTGCAGGATATATATAGACAGTGAGAGTTGGTTAAGGGAGATAACTTCACCACATATTTCATGAATAATGTTAAATGTAAGATTCTTCAGGTAATGAATATTGCAAGCTGCCTTAATTTATTGACAGGTATTTTTCAAAGACAAGTGTACTATATGACATCAAGGAACATGCACGTACTTATTTTGACAGGTGACATTACATAACAGTTATGGACAGATGTTATTTATAGCTTGACATTAATTGTAATGAAAGGTGAATCTAATTAGAAGCTTTTTACACATCATATCTCCAAGTCAGAAAAATGCCAAAGAAGTTAGAGATCCACATCACTTTTGGATGGTGGAACTGTATAAACAGTCCCAAGTGGCATGTTGTGACGAGCAGGCATATTTTTATAAGTTTCAAAATGTATAGGTTTGTGTGTGTAGTACATGTGTAGGAATTGTGGGGTACCGGTTTGCTATGGTTTTACCCTAGGAGTCGGGTAAACCCACATTATATTATAAACGAGTTTAACAGTAAACTCCCCATCACACTTGCCTTGTGAATCCCAGGGAGTCGAGATGGTGGAAGTACTATAACGGTAATTAGGATATAGTTATATGTATACATGTACAGTATTTGGTTTCTCCTTGGTGGAGAATGTTACGTAATACTTGCCAAGGTTATACCCTGGAAGTATGGTGGAGCCTCGTTGATCTGGGTAGATTGACAAGGCTATTTATAGTCAGGTACATGCAAACTCTGCCAAGGTTTACCCTGGGGAGGGTGAGTAGCTGATGTGTCCGGTACCAGTGTGGTAGATACTCAGTGTGGGGTACTTACCGTTGCATGTACCTAAAGTGTATAACTCTAGTCATTGGTGAGTTTAGTTAGGGTAAAATTACAACCCGCTTTGGATAACCCAGGGGGGAGGAAATTACCTGTCAGTATAAAGGCCTGCTCGTCACATTTGTTGAGAATAAATATCATTAAATAGGCTGCGGCCATTTAATCCAAAAATGCGTGTTTATTGTTATTTCAAAAACATCATAAAATAAATCCAAGTCAGAGAAATACCAAAAAAATTGGAACTCTTCTTTGTTGGAGATGTAAACAGATCCCTGTCACTGTCCATGTCTACCTTAATTTAAAACGTAGCAGAGTTAGAATGTACTAGTCTGTTATAGTTGGTTCACAAAACAGGATATACTATTGATACACTAACAGTATATGAATGCCAAACATCAATTGAAAAATGTTTAAGGTTTCAGTATTTTCTTGTTTCCATTTGACAAGGAAGGAATTGGCAAATACACATTTAGTATAAACGTAGTTGTCTATGACAAGGTATCGTAAAAACTTCCTATAAATATTTCTCTAAATGAACCTTTTCTTCTCTATTGTATTTCAATTCAGATACACACTGTATGTCACATAAAGCATGAAACTGTACAGGAACAAGAACAATTCGCCCTAATATGACCTCCAGACTCAAACAATACACTAGATATCCAGCTGTATGTATATACATATATACAAGTGTAGATATTTTAAGACATTGCTGAGAAGTCTGACGTAATATCGTCCTGATAACATAGTTTAAGTACACAAAGGTATCATTGTAATTCTGGACTTGCCAGTTTTAAATGACATAATATATGTATATATAAATAAATTCACTCTAAATTAGCATTTTTTTAAAACAAAACTGAAGATTATCTCTATTTTCCCACTTGAATTAAACATCATTTGTGTCATACCTTAATTCAAGATCATGAATATTCAAACATCAAATTTGATTTTTAAACTGATTTTGTTTACTGTTTCACAAAGACAATGTTTGACAAAAATAACTTACTACATGATCTGTTATCTCATCCAGGTTGGAATATATCGGTCAGTGATCAAAATATATATATACAATTATATATGATTTATTCTACAACAATTATGTAACAAGTCATTTCAACTTATATTAATCACTCTTGTTGGCCCAGATGATAGCGCACTGATGGGGTCTAAAGTGTGAGGAAACATGAGTACACAGAGAAAACTCATGAGGTCGGGCAGGTGATCATGATGACCCCATACTTTTTCACATCCAATCGGGGAATCAAACTCTGGTTTCCTTGGTGAAAGGCAAGTGCGCTATCCACTGCGCCACCCCTGACCACCCAAAGTGATGCTTGAGTGCATGGCCATGAAGCAGTTTGGTCAGAAGTGGCAGTCTTTACTAATTTTCAAGTCAAATGTTGAAGAACAAAATCTGATTTAATTTATTCACACATTCAGCTACACGTTATACTGTGTCGGGCACACAGGAGATAAACGCTAAATGTTCATGTGTATCTATAGCTATTGTATCAAGACCATATATAAGAACCTGTCTGGCTCCGGTTCTGAGAAGCTGACTGAGCCCTCATAGCTAGAATTCACACAGATCTAAACACTGGCATATGCATTGAGCTATACAGACTGTTCCCAGAAATAGGCCAGTGATACTTAGAACTGTGTATTGCCTATCCCTGATTTAAAATCCCTGACTGCACAAACAGTTTCTTTATTCTGTGACTTTTTAAAAATATGCATGTTACTTCCTATTTCTCTTTTAAAGTATTTCCTTCAATGCATCGTGTTTCGAGTGTCATATATAAAGCGTCTCTAGATTTGTAATAGTACAATCGGTTCTAAAGAAAAGACATAGGTTCTTACGCTGTATAATGTATTTGACATTATATGTGAACTTAAACCTTATACAAGTATAACAAAGATAAATTGTATGGTTTGTTTATAACTGTGATTTTGGAAGTATGTACATAGTAAGTGTCACTTTGTATATGAATCATATTTATAATTGTTACACCTCAAGTGAATTTCTAGCTATTTTATTGGTTGGGAGAAAATTAAACAAAAATCTCTGTCACACTCCGGAAATACATTGGTTGTAAGGGGCGCGGGTGATATTGCCATGAGACAGTGAAAAATATCACATGCGCGAGAAATGTGCGTTCACCACTTCGTTTCCCCACCATGATGGTCACAAGAACGTTTGACGCCAACAGCCAATTTTATCAAGCGCCGGTGCGATAGCGATTGTAAACAGCAGACTATCAACAAACAAGATGTCATTATCGAGGTTTGCTGCCGTTTCTGAGCTACAAAGACTTTTGGTGTAACAAAATAGATATGACATTCATTAGCAGGGGACAGTGAATATTGTCAACCCGAGAAAACCATTTAAACCCGAGGCGAAGCCGAGGGTGACAATGGTTTTTTGAGGTTTGAAAATATTCACTGTCACCTGCTAATGAATGTCATATTTATATAATGTTCTTATCTCAGGGTTTGAAACTAACACATATCTACCAGCAAAATGCATGTTAATTTCTTGAATGGACTAGGTCCATCACCTGCGACCAGAAAGCTCAATTGGTTAGAGTATTCGGCTAGAGTTCGGATGGTGAGAGGTTGGAATCCCAGTCTGGCCGTTGCTTTTCTATATCTCCTGTTAC